GCATTAAGAGATTTAATACAATTCAAATTAAGCATGTATATATTATTTACCCTTTTTTTATGCAATATGTCAATTCTATTTTGGCTTAATATGCAGCTAGTGGAAAATATTTTTACATTATAATCCTTTTCACATAGTTGGATAATACTCAACATATTATATATTAATCCTTCTACCAATAAAATATTCTCAATAAAAAAAAATTGTTTAAGTTTTTTATCATACTTATGCCTACCACTTTCCTAATGATATTATCTCCCAATGTAACCTTGCCTCCATACCTGGCTTATAGCGATATGAATTATGTAGTGTCTCAAGTTATATGATTCGAACATCCGCTATCTAGGTACCAAATTGTCTTACGAGGTCTAGTATAAGAGCGATTCTCTTCTTGATCTAACTGGTCAAGCTTGTTAGCCATTAAGTACAAATTTGTGACTTCCTTCTCTACTTCTATTTTTGAAGAATCCGAATCTGAATCTGCCCAAAATGCTCTCTATAATCTCCTCTTGCCCTTCCTAACATTTGTTTCCTCATCGACCTTCTCCTTGCTAAGATTGGCTTTATAATTTCTACAATTTTATTTGATGTGTCCAGACTTCCTACATTCATAGTAAATAACATCGTTGGAAGCCTTAAAATTTTTGTGGAACTTACCTTTATTTCACTACTGATGTCTGCTTTCTTTCTTTTCAAAAAACTCCTGAATTTCCTTGTCATCAAGGCAATGTCATCTTCATCCTCAGGCAGAGACAAATCACTCTTCAAATCATCCACTTTTTGAAATGGAAAAAGATAGGCTTAAATTACTTTAGCAAAATTCTGGAAAGTCTATTTCTTCCCTTGAGTATGAAGCTACGATTTAGCAAACTGCTCCAATTCAGTACTTGAAATTAGATTAGAAAGGTCAAATTGAACCCACGAGTGGAGGCATTATGGTGGAGAATTTTTAATAATGCTCTTCCTACTTATAATTTTTTATCTTATAAGAGATTGCAAAGGGATGCAAATTGTCCTAGGAACTGCAATGAAGAAGAAAATAGTGAGCATGTTACAGTTAAGTGCAAAAAACTATTGGAGGTTCTACAACACATTAATAGGTGGGGTTTTCTTATTCCTACCTTTACTTCACTTGATGAATGCTGTAGTTGGTTGTCAAAATAGAATTCCTTTTTGGAGAATCTATATTACAATATAGTGTCTTTTCATGGAAATCGAGGAACAAGTTAATTCATAAAGGGTATGAGGATAGCTCATTGAGCATAGCTACTAATGCCGTTTGTTATGCTTCTATTTCTGCTTATGGTGCTAGTAGAAGCTCAGGTATATGGGGTGCTAACTAGTCGCCTTGTCTATCTAATTCGCATTGGCATCCTCCTCCGCCCGATTGGATCAAGGTGAATGTTGATGCAACATTAGTTCCATCTTATAAATATGGAATTGGAGGGGTATTTCATGATCACAAAGGACAATTTCTTTTGGCTTTTGGAAAGTCATATATTCATTGGGATATATCTTCATTGGAGATTTTTGCTACTCTTTCTTTCAAGGAGGTTATTAATGATTAGATGTACAAGTACAAGGGAATTATCATAGAAGGAGAAAATTCTAATATTATTAAGTTTCTTTAAGAGGCCAAATCAAGTAGCACTCCTAAGTTAGAGGCGCTTCATGCTATCAAAGATTTCAATCTTGTAATTTTTAATTGTGTAAACATAAATTGTAATAAGTTAACAGACTTATGTGCTAACTATGCTCTTCTTAGCTCTTTTATTTGGGATGTCATTACGGTGAATAAGGTTCGTCCTTATTTTATGGCTTTGCTAAAGGAGGAATGCAATATGTTTAGGTTGTAGTTTGTTTCTTTTTCATATTAATGCAATTTGATGCTTTTTATTCAAAAAAAAAAAAATCATCCATTTACAATGCTATAATCTTTTATTTTCTCTTTTCACTTATATCAATATGTCTTTGAGTCACTCCTTGCTCGTAATCAGTTAGTGATCCAAGAATATTGTGAATAAAGTAAATATTTAAGTCTTTTAACTCCATTATAGTAGTTATCTTTACATCATAAGCAGTTGGCAAATAACGAAGTATCTTATTCATTTTCTTATCATTCGTTAGTTCCCTATCTAAAACATGCAATAAGGTGACTATTTGAGTGAAACGTGTATACATGTCAGTGATTGATTCATTTAGTTTCATGTGAAATAGTTCATAATTATGTAGTAAAATATTCAATCTAGATTATTCTACTTCGTTAGTCCCTTCATATGTGATACAAAGTCTATCCCAAAATTCTTTTCAAGATCTATAGGTAGAGACACACATATACTTATCATATTTAAGTGCATAAAAAAACTTTTCAAATATTTAGTATTTCACTTAGCTAATTCTTTTTCTACTATAGCCCAGTCAACAAATGGTGTTTTAGTTCTAATGTCATATACATGTCTAGTTGGTCTAGTACATCCCTCATTTACAAAAATCCACATGTGATAGTTAAGTGATTGAAGAAAAGTAGATATACGTATTTTCCAAAAATTAAAAGGGATATAATCAATTAATGGGGGTCTAGTGATTGAATACTATTCAGGTGTGTTACGGTTTCCGAAATTAGTCATGATTATTTTCAAAAAATTGTCTAAACCATAATTTTTGAACGCTTACTCTAATACCACTTGAAAGTTTGTATAAGTTGTTAGACCTAAAGCAATTGTCTCAAGGCTAACTAGGAAGGGGGTGAATTGGTAATTTAAAAAATCAAATGAAATTTTAGAAAATTATTCTTATAATTTTAAACACAATAAAATCTTTATCAAACTAAATTTTTTAACCACAAAAATAAAAATACAAAAAATTAAGAATGTGGTAAATATAAATAAAAGAGCACAAAAATTTATAATGGTTCAGTCCAACTAGACATATGTCCACTCCCTGAAGACTCCCTCTTTAGGTATTAATTACACTATTACCAAAGTGACTCTTTTTTTTCTCTCACAATAAGGCGGAAAAGCCTTTATAATTAACCTCTCTTCCACCAATCCCCGGTGTAGCATAGTACCGTCATTCATTCGCATCCTCCAAGTGTCGGTATAGAACCGTTATCCTTTCACACCCTATGGTCGAGTCAATTTTGTACTCTAGAAGTTGTCTATACGAATCCAAGTTTATACAATACGAACAATTCAAAATATTCATTATTTGTATGGATGAAAAGGTACGTATCAATTTCGTACTCTAGACGTTGTCTGTATAAACCCAAAAGTTTGTACAGTATGAATAGTTAAATAAAATTTAACTCTTCATATGGACGAAAAGATATGCATCAATTTTGTACTTTGAAAGTCGTTTGTATGAAGATAAATTCGTACAGTACAAACATTACTTAGAAAATTTCATGCATTATTCGATTAACTGCTTTTTGGAGGATTGCTCAGACCAAATTGTCCCGTACGATCCCAAATGGTACATTGCGATTAGTTTAAAAATTTATGATTTTTACAATCCCTAGTGTGTATGTGTGTGCACAGTATCTCAAATACAATCACACTTCCTCAAACTCAATAAAAGTATAAAAAGTGCAAACTCCAAATACAATAAACCCTACTCAAATTTGTCTTAAAGTTTTCAGCAATTTGAAGTATGATCTACCTGAAACGTTTGTACACACAAACCACAAAAACAATATTTCTATTATATGTTAGGAGAAAACAATAATCAATCTAACAATAATTTTGAATCATAAAAAATACACATGTAATGAAAACAAAGATGCAATAGTAGAAGTCCTGTGATAAGCGGAAGCCTGACGTCAGCTGGTGGTCCGGAGATGGTCAAGGAGGAGTCAGGTGGCATGAGAACTCTTCATTCTCTTCCTTCTATTCTCGCTTGGGTCTCTTTCTTCCTCCCTTGGGGTCCCTTCTTCCTTATTGCTTCCCCCCTCTCATGGGAAATGAGGGGTCTATTTATAATTTTATGAGTGTGGCATGACCAGTAAATAGGAGGAAGATCAAGGATAAATTGATAGTGGTTTGAATGGATGACCAGTGTTTAATCCCTTATTTGGGGATGGTTTACAGGACATTTGAATGTCTTAATGATATCAAAATTTGATGATCTTGGCCTCGTTAGATTCGTCTCATCGAGCCGCTCGATTCGGCTATAAGCATGTCACGTTTGAAAATCATTTGGTAATCCTAATTATGGTTTGAACCTTCCAAATGGGCTTAAGATCTTTGATTTTGACTCATATGTGTTTGGATTGAGTCGAATTTGGTATTGTTGGGTTCGTATTTTTTAGACGTTTAGTTTGACTATAAGTTTGCTGAAATCGGAGTTTAGATGGACTTCGATTTAATTTTTAAAATTTCCAACTTAATATTACTTCTAAATTTGTGCCCCATCAAGAATTTTTTTTAATGATATATCAATTTTTAATTTAATTTTGAAACTTCTAAATTAAAATAGTATTGAATTCGTGTTTGACCAGATGTATTTTTCTGGTGACTTATCATTGTATTTCTACCATAATATTCTACACTCAACAAAATCACGATTTTTTAAAAAACAAGAAACAAAAAAAAAAAAACTAAATAACAATACGTCAGAAAAAAATAAATATACTTTTATAAATTCAAATAAACATTGTCTAATTAAATAAAAAATAAAAAATTCTACATCTTACCGACGCGGCTCATGGATTTTCTTTTGCTTCTACTTGAAGCAATTTTTTTTTTCCAGCAAGTCCGTCGAGTCATAAGAAACAGCCTTGTCTACGTCCCTTCTTCTATCTCCAGACTTCAAATAAAAGACTACCACTGCATTTATCTTTTCTCTCTTTTCCACCGCCCCTTCGTTCTTTGACCTCCATCTGGTCTCGCAAAATGACTATATAAACAACCTTAAACCTTCAAGTATTACATAGTACTTTCATTCAACCATTCACGAGAAAAGTACGATACGATTCAAGTTTTCCTCCCTTCCTCTCTCTCTCTCTCTCTCTCTCTCTCTCTCTCTCTCTCTCTCGTCTCTCTCACCATTCAAGTAACAATGCTAGGAAATCTTCAAATCTTCCTGTTTATTGCAGCCAGTAGCTTCACAGTAATACATTCTCTCAACTTACCTGCAACTGATCCGCGGAGAAGTGCTGAAGGAATCTTTATCAAAGTAAATGGCAAACAGTTTGTTAAAGATGGACAGCCATTTTACATAAATGGATTAAATGCTTATTGGCTTATGAGTAAGGCTTCAGAGCCAACCGAGAAGGAAAAAGTCTCTACTGCTTTGCATCAGGCTTCCTTATTGGGCATGAATGTTGTAAGGACTTGGGCTTTCAGTGATGCTGATGACTACTTTCCTCTACAGACTTCTCCAGGATTTTATAATGAGAAAATGTTTAAGGTACTTAATTATAATATATTTTTTGGTTAAATAATTAAGATAAATTCTCACATATAACATACCTAAATTTTTAATTTAAAATCTCTAAATGGGTGGTTAAAATTCTCAACCCACAAATTAAGATGAATAGCCTTAAGTATAAATACTTTCAGTATGCATGTATATCTTATTATGTTTATTTATTATTTGATTTTATTAAAATGGTTATGTAAATATCTTATAAATTTTTTATAGAAAATATTTTTTTTTTTATTATAGAAATATGAAATATCCCAACTTTTGTTTGGATGAATCTAAATATATTAACATTATTTTAAAACGAGTTTAATAATTATTTTGATTAATTATTTAGGTATTTTATTTATTCGAAAGTAAATTAAAACGATTTAAAAATATTACGACTCAGAATATTTGCTGTATATATTATAGTATGAATTATTTTAAATATAAATATTCTATTTAATATAATTTGATTAAAATTAATTACTAAAAATTATTAATAATCCGAAAAATATTGAAGTTGTTATGATATTAGTATTGTATACATAAGGCAATTTATAATGGATGAATATACAGGTAAATCTAATGATTTTGAGATATCTTCTCACAAAAAAAATTATATATTAGGTTATTTTGGCCAAATTAAGAAAAATATTTAAATTAGATCATTGTTTTCAAAAAAAAAAAAAAATGATCATCAATTAGTTGTACTCATGCTTGATCATCTTTAAGCAATTAATAATATAATTAATATATTTTGTTTGATTGTCCGACAATACTTAGGAATTAATACGGTCATCCAGACTGTCAGTTAAAGCTACTTCTAATATTTAACTCGTGCAAGACGAAGACAAAATTAAATTGTCTAATTAAATAATCATCAATAAACTTTGTCGTTGTTTTCTAATATATATATATATATATATATTTATAAAAGGTTGAATTTGTCAAAATCAAAGTCCTGTGGGAATTGGGAAATATATTTGACTCTGGATATTCAAACTAATTTCAGCGTAGCATAGGAGATAGCAGCAAACTTTTTTTATTACTAAGATGTTTTATTCAATGGTTAGTTGTTTATTTTTATTATGTAAGAAATTATTTAAAATCATTTTTTTATTTGATAAAACATTATCATCTTTTAAAACGATACTACTAATTTTACATTTTAAACTGAGAATTTATATCAGACATAATGCTGAGCAATTTTTTTTTTTTAAATTTGCTTATTTGAAATATTTTAATTGAAGTGAATTCCAAATCAATTTAATTTGTTGAATTTGACAGAAATAGTGGCCCATATAAATAGCATGTATATTGATCATATATTGAAGTTAATTTATTAATGATTTTTTTAAATAATACACATCAGGGGCTAGATTTTGTGATATCTGAGGCAAAGAAGAATGGAGTTCTACTAATCCTAAGTTTAGTTAATAATCATGAGGATTTTGGAGGTAAGAAGCAGTATGTAAAATGGGCAAGAGAGAAAGGCCAACCCATATCCTCTCCTGATGATTTCTTTACAGATGATCTTGTCAAGAGATTCTACAAGCAACATGTCAAAGTATGTAAATATCATCATCCTTGCTTGCTTTTTTTATTTAACTGTAATTAATTTGTTAAATAGTTTTTAGTCTAATTTATTCTAATTAATTTTTCTTAATAAATTGAAACAGAGAATTCTTACTAGGAACAACTCGATCACAGGGATACCATACAAGGATGATCCCAACATCTTAGCATGGGAACTAATCAATGAGCCTCGATGCGAAAGCGATATCTCTGGAGATACTTTACAGGTATTTAATTATTAAATGGTGGTTATTGAGCATATTAATTAACCACAGATTGACTAATTAATATTTCTTGCTCAGCTTAATGACAAGATAAATTATTAATTTTGTTTAGTTTTGAATAGACAGGCTTGGATTGAGGAGATGGCCGCTTATGTTAAAACAATTGACAATAATCACCTTCTTGAAATTGGATTAGAAGGGTTCTATGGAGATTCCATATCTGATAGGAAGCAATTTAATCCTTGGTATGATGGAGCTGGCGCTGATTTTATTTCGAATAATCTTGTCGCTGGAATTGATTTTGCCACAATCCATATTTATCCGGAGCAATGGTACGCTTTATTTGAACAAATCAAATATATATATATATATATATAACTGAATTCTTATATGAAAGAATAAATACCAAAATTTGCATGCTCTAAAACCTTGGAACTTACAGGATGCCAAGTTCGACTCTATTGGACCAATTTGTTTTCGTTCAATCTTGGATTCAAGCTCACATTCGAGACTCTAATGAAATCCTCGGTAAGCCACTTCTGATCACGGAGTTTGGCCGATTAAGTCCAAATTCATATCCGGTCAATCTAAAAGAGAGAGACAGCTTGTATAAATTAGTATACTCTGGTGTCTATGGCTCAGCCAAAGAAGGTGGTGCTGGAGCCGGTAGCTTATTTTGGCAACTTCTAATTGATGGCTTAGATGATCTGAGAGATGGCTATGAGGTTATCCTCTCCGAAACACCATCTACAGCCTTTGTTGTATATCATCAATCCCAAAAGCTTTTTAGTCTCAATAAAGCCCATGCTTTTACATGAAAGAGTTATTAGGCTCAATTGGTTTAAAGGATTTAGTGAGGATGAAAATTTATTTTGTATTTATTTAATTTTTTGTAGATTGTTTTGTTTAATGGTAATTTGTAAGTAATTGAAATTTGTTAAGGGAATGTTGATAAATGTTTTTCTTACTATTAATATTTTCTTTTTTAGTTTAATATTAGTAAAAAATAATATAGTAAAATTTATCAAATTTTTGTGTTTAGACTCGGGGCTTCCGCGCCTCTCTCCTTTAAGGAAGCTCTTGCGGTTTCTTCGTCGTCTTTCCCTGATTTAAAGGTCTCTTCTCATCGTGGCTTGCCTTCTTTCATTATTTCTGAGGATGAGGTGCGGTCTCTCGTTTCCCCTTTCGATTTTGCTTTAGTTGGAAGATTTCTGGGTAAGCGACCATCGGTCGATGCTATTCGGAATTTCTGTTTCAATTTAAAGTTGCTTGGTGATTTTTCGATAACAGTCCTCAATCATCGAAATGTCTTGATCAAATTGGTGAATGATTTTGACTATTGCCGACTTTTTTCTCATAGATCTTACTTTGTTCAAAATTGTTATATGAAAGTTGTAAAATGGTCACCTAACTTGGAAATTGAGGTGGATTCTCCTTTTGTGCCGATTTGGGTTTCTTTCCCCCTGCTTAGGCCTCACCTTTTCTCTCCTAGGATTCTTCTTGGCTTAGGGTCAATTTTTGGTCGTCCTCTCAAGTCGGATTTGGCGACTGCGTATGGATCCCGGCCGTCTCTGGCTCGTATACTTGTTGAAATGGATGTTACTAAAAAACATTCTGAGAAGATTTGGATTGGGTCAGTGGAATCAGGCTATGTTCAAAATGTTATTTTTGATGACATTCCTCACTTCTGTTCACATTGTAATTCCTTAGGTCATCTTAAAGATTCGTGTCCTATCTTGCATCCCTCTATTAAAGATCCAAAAAATGTGGTTGCCCCTATTGATGCGAATTTGGGTATCACTGGGGTGGTGTCGGATGTGTTGGATGCTGGTGGCAATAATTCGGTGGCTGCTACTACAATTCATTTTGCTAATTCTGATGTTTTTTGTGAGGCTTTACCTTCTGTTGAGCCTTCGGGCTGTTCCCCTGCGACTGGGAATTCTCCTGTTACTGTGGCTGGTGGTAATGACGTTCCTGGTATTGTGGCTGATTGTCTTTTACCGGGTTTATGTGATGTTTTAAAGTCTCCTGTTAATTCTAAACTTGAACCTGCTTTATTACTTACCGTTGATGTTGAGTTGGATAATGTTATTGTTGTGGAGGATTCGGTTGGTAGAGTAGCTGGTGATTTTTTTTCGGATGTTGTCACGGTTGGTCTTTCACCAAATGCTCTTCCTTTTTTCCCGCATATTCTAGTGTCCTCTACTGTGGCCCTTGCATCGGAAGTTAGAGTTGATGGTAATCCTCTAATTGAGGTTCCTGTTAATGTGGTGGATTCACAGTCTTTGGCTAATCGCTTGGGTGAATCGTCTAGTTTGGACATTAGGAACCATTTTAATTGGTTGGACGGATCGTCGGAGTATGGATATGAATCTGATTTTTTTGAAACGGGCTTGATGACTCCGGAATTTTGTGGGGGTTCGGACCCTGGCAACGATTTCATTTTGGTTCGTGCTGGTCCTAGCAGAAATGTTACATCTCGGGGGAGATGCCGTGGGAGATTTCGTGGGAGAGGTGTTACAAATCTATTTTCATGGCTTATGTTTTGATAATTGACAAACACTATTTCTCTTGGACTGCTTGTTGCTTCTAACTTTTCAGGAATCGAAGATCGGACGAACAAGACAAAGCCAGTTCAGGATTGCGTAGGTTTAGGGTTGAATCAGTCTGTACTTTTGATTTTCACTTTTTTGAGTCTACTTGTAATGGTCAAAGAGACTGATGCTAAGTAACCCTACACACACACATTTGAGATACTTAGAATTTCTATTTTTACTCATATTGGCCAGGGCGATTTTTACATCGGCCTGGACGATCAGGCTTAAAACACAAAGTCTAAATGAGGATTCTTAATTAAGGTAGCCGTCATTAACATATCGGCCTGGATGACACGTGTATTGGCCAGGACGATATGCTCAAAATAGAAAGAAGGTGCCGCCATAGACAATTAAGGTATATTGTATTTTTAAATTATCGGTCAGGACGATCATTGATCGGCCTAGACGATATTCACAGATTATGCCTTAATTGATCAGGAAATCAAGGGAGTAATTAAGGATGATTGATACGATCATATCGTCCTGGACAATCGCAGGATCGGTCAGGACGATCTATTCAAAAACCTTAAGTTACTTCAGGACGATAATATCAACCAGCTCGTATCCAGGGCTATTCTCAGGACGATTTTCCTCTGATTTGAACTAATCGGCCTGGACGATCGTGAGGTCGTCCCGGATAATCAAGCCAAATTTCAATCGTCCAGGAGTGTATCCAGGGCGATGCTCTAGCCGATCTTCTGAGTTATGTACTGATCGGCCAGGCCGATGTCCAAATCGTATCGGGCCTGGACGAATAAAGTCGGCAACTGTGCAATTAATGAGCTCCTTTGAAGCTCTTCTATTTAAGAGCTCATGTCAACATTTTTGATGACCTTGTGCTGCTGCCTTTTTACCTGAGAAGACCTTCGAGGAATAATACAGAGAAGGGAAGAGAGAGAGGATCTTGTGAGGGGAGCCTTGTGAGGGATTCACAAGGTTGCTTCAAGGATCGCTCTGCTTGTTCTTCTCTAGAGTTTTCGTCGTGGAAGAGTCGGTAGAGGTAAGGTGTTAGCTTTTGTTGTGGTTCTCTGCCAGCTTCGAGAGGAAGCAAAAGGAGTAGGTTCTTGCCTTGCCGGGGTGGCAAAAAGGAGGTTCTTGTAAGGGCTTTCCCCTAGCCGTGGGGGCTAAAGGAGAGTCCCATTTTATAGTGCAATACTTGGAGGGCTGCCTCCAAGGAGTGGACAGTAGGTTCGGTTGACGATCACTATAAATTTCTGTATTCTTATTTATTCTTGCTTCCGACTTTAATTCCGCATATATTTTTTGTGGCGTGATTTTAGTTATGTTTTTTTTCTTTGTTAAAGAAATTTTTAAAATACCAATCACCCCCTCTTTGGTTAGCTGGGTAGTTTATAGGGCTTAAATCCCTAACAATTTTAAGTGGTATCAGACGGGATTCAATAATTTAAGTTTGAAAACTTTTTGAAATTGATCATGGCTAATCTTGGGAATCGTAACACTACGGAAGGGTATTTCTATTACCCGCCTCCCGTTCGAATAACCTACCTTTTGACTTTGGAAAACCTGCATGTCAATGTTTTTACAATACTGATTATTGCATGTGAATGCTTATATCAAGAGGTTATTCTCCACCTTCTCGTGAATTGATGGTGTTAAAATGAAGTTGTTTTTACTGAATGGATTTTGAGTGAATGAGATTTAGTCTAATTAAATGCAAAATGTTGAACTGCTTTTTCCGTGTTTTAAAATATGAGGATTTCAATGCGTATCTCAACTTGCAAAACTGGTAAAGAGATTTGGAATAAATTGTGCATCACCTATGAAGGTACTAATGAGTTAAACAATACCGTTAAACATTCTCTTGCATGACTACAACTTTTTCTTATGAAACTTATGAATGATTTCTGACATGTATACTAGTTTAACTCAGATAGTTACTTCACTGCATGCACTAGGAAAAAAACTTCGAACTAATAAAAAGTAAACAAGATTTTGAGATGCTTGCCTTTCGTCATATGATGCTAAATCCTGCAATCACTGAATCTAAGGATTTGAACACTTACTCTATTGATAATTACTTGGCTCATCATTGCTTAAGAGCAGGGTGAATCAAAAAATCTTGATGTCAGGTGAGAAGAAAAGGAGAAAAGATTGCACTGAAGGCACATCAAATCAGATTATGAATCTTTCGGGTCTGAAAGAGATGAAATTGCCTTCATCACTAGGAAATTCAGAAGCTTTCTAAGGAAGAAACAAAAGCACCATCAAATGAGAAAAGGTAAGGATATAAACATGTTAAAGGATCTCTGATGTTGTTTGTTTGAATGCAGGAACTAGACATGTGAGAGCCGATTGCCCGACACTTCATATAACACAAGCAAGGTAAAAGATTGAGAGAAACCTAAGTTTAAAAAGACAAGAAGAGAATCTCAAAAGGTGTTTTGGGCAGATCTGGTACTGATTCTCTGAGATGAACTAGATGAGAAACACAAACTTGTCTTAATGGGGGAATCATTCTTGAGCAAGAGTGATAGAGGAAGAGGTATGATAAACCCACCTATGATGAATTATTTGAAATTGTGAGAGAACATACATCATACACAAAAACTCAGAAGACTCATGCAAGCCTAAAATTAGAAATTTTGAATTTACAAAAAGAGCATGAAGTTTTCTCAAAGATCATGCAACGATTGATTAAATCATGGCTCTTCTTGATGAATTTGATAATTAACAAAAAAATATTTGGAATTAATTGATGAAAATAATGCATTAAAAGTTTCAACACACTCACTTAAATTGATTAAGAATCTAAAGAGAGTGTGAATATTTGAGGATTGAAAATGAAGTTTTTAAAAAGCATAATTTGAAGATCCAAAATGATTAAGAGCTTGTAAAAAACTAGGAAGACATCTATTTTTGATCATTGCCAAAACCTAGGAAAGGTATTATAATTCACACTTTAGAAATCTTTCCTGAGTTAGATTTTTTTCATATGGCAGCTAGGACACATCTCACACACTTGCACATTCCCGGTAGTACCATTGGTGTGGAAGCTAATATGCATAATTCACACATATCCTTACTGCATTGCATTCGTACTTTTCCTAAGAAGGAGCCCAAACCACTTTTGGGTTTTAAATCTGACTGTTGTTAGTTTTGCAGGAGTGCTCTCACCAAAGATCTGTGGGGGCATAGGATAATAACATATGAGGCTCCCAGCTCATTCATGCTCAAACTTGCTGCTCAATAATTTTTGAAATATGTTTTGTTTCGTGTGTTTTTATTTCGCTTTGTTTGTTTTTTTTTATTATGTGTGTGTTTTAACTTCACTTGTTTTTA